TCTCTCAAAAATAAATAAATAAAATTAAAAAAAAAAACCAACACAGAAACTTCTCATCTATCACCACTGTCTTGGGTGGCTAGACCGGGGGTTGGGGGATGGGGGTGGTGTGTGTGTGTGTGTGTGTGTGATAAGTAGTAGCACGCTGTAGCAAATGAATGTACTAATCCCTGATCACTCCCAGTGTGTGTGTGTGTGTGTGTGTGTGTGTGTGTGTGATAAGTAGTAGCACGCTGTAGTAAATGAATGTACTAATCCCTGATCGCTCCCATCACGGGTGTCCCTGGTTAATACTACTGGTCTAACTCCACAGCTGATCTGGGCAGCTCATTACAATCAGTCAAGCCTCCAGTCCCGTCAGGGCTCTCACCTGTTTGTGCCATAATGTGTCAACTCATTTCACCCACCTACGCCTCAGTTTACCTGCAGTGGGTTCCTATGCATTTGGCACCTGAGTTGTTCAGTCAGTGCTAGTAAAGATATGTTAACTGAGGGGCGCATTCTTCCCAATAGACAGCACATCAAAAGGATGCTTTTAAAACCTCACTCAACAGTATTTAGGAGGGGTGAGGACAGAGGGTAATTTAAGTCACCCAGCCCAGCTCAATAAACTTTTTTTTTTTTGCTATGCTAAGAGAACAAGAAAAATGTAATTAAATTTAAATAACAAAAGCTGTGGCCTTAGAGAAGCTTTCAGGACTTTGGATCTCGGTCATTCTGTAAAAATATGTAGAAACCTTTCTGGAGACACACCTTTAGGTTATATACAAGAAATCTTCCCAGCTCCAAGTTTTAAAAACCAACAACAAAACAATAGTTGCAAATTTCTGTCTAACTTTTATTCATTTGAGAGGGGGCTTCCTATTTCCAACAGGGCAGTGCAAAGTTCATTGTCCTGACTTCCCTCAGCAACTAAAATTCTTAGTTTCATAATCTGTTTTAAATAGCACCTTGTTGTTGTAAAGTGTTAATTTTTTTTTAAAGATTTTATTTATTTATTTGAGAGAGAGAAAGAGAGCATGAGAGGGGGGAGGGTCGGAGGGAGAAGCAGACTCCCTGGGGAGCAGGGAGCCTGATGCGGGACTCGATCCCGGGACTCCAGGATCATGACCTGAGCCGAAGGCAGTCACTTAACCAACTGAGCCACCCAGGCGCCCCTGTAAAGTGTTAGTTTTAAATGACCCCACGCTTTGATAAATACACATGGCAGATGATCCAGGATGTAACCCTGTAAGTATAGCTTGAAGGAGTCCACTTTCCGGGGCCATGCCGCACCCTAAGCATGCAGAGTGGAGAGCAAACCCCAACGAGCCAGCTCAGCACTGTGACTGGACTGGCCACACGGCTGGGCCCAGAGGCAAGAGGGCTGTCTGTTGGGGGTGGGGGGAGGCTGGACTTGCCAAGGGAGCTGGCTAATCCGCTCCTTCCTGAAGTGCGCTAGGGGGATGGAGAGTGGGCTTGAGTTAAGTGTTTCTTTCATATGAGGAAGATGTGTTTTCTGTAGAAAAAAAGAGGAAATCGAGATAGCCAAAGAGATATGCAAACAATAATCAGCAGTCATACTCCTTCTGCTGTGCTGTTCCGTGCGTTATTCCTGAACATGTAAGCACGCACATATGAAAGGGGGTGGTAGTCTGAAGTCCAGCGAGGCCGGGACCACTCACTGTTTTTGAAGTCCCAGAATGTGTCTGTGAAAGGTGAGGAAATCCTAAAGCAGGACTTAACAAAAATTAGAGTCTATATTGATACATAGATATAGATAGGTGTATAAGGCTTAACACTTAAAGACACGATAACTTGCAGTGGACTGCATCAGGACACGGCATCTCAAGTTCAATTTCGAGATTTGGCCTAATTATGCTTTTTCTCGCCCCCGCCCCCGCCCATTGCCATGCTAGGTCTGTTGTAAGAGGTGTCAGGACCTAGAGCTTTCCTCAGGAGTATAACATGATCTTTCTCTACGTCAACAAATATAATTCTCGATCACTTCCGTTGCTGTACAGAGGCCCATTGTGTGTACATCCCACCATAGAGTTAAGTCCTGTTCTTGGACATTTCTTTCTTTCTTTGGTAGCACTACGTGGATATTCTTGTACTTGCTACTTCTGATGTTTTCTTACTTCCTTAGGATGAACTTGGAGAGAGAAAATTGATGGGGCACAATGTGCTCACATAGTTTTGAGGTTCAAAACTATTCTTTCAGAAAGCTGGCACTCTTGTTTTAGAAAATGAAAGCAGGTCCTCCAATGCCAGGGTAGAGTTCGGCTCTACCCCAGACCTCACTGCTTCTCAGATTCATTGTCATCAAGTCCCTAGTACCACACAGAGTGATGTGCCAGAGTTCAGAGGCAAGACAGGTGTAGTCAGGCATGGGCTTTGCCAGGGCTGCCAGAGATTCGGGGTGTATACGGAGAAACTGGGAGGACAGGCACAGAGACAGAAGCCCTTCTCAGCTGTAGTCAGATGGAGCAAGAAGGGCCTCAGTGGGAGTGGCCGGCCCCCCAGAACAGAATGAGTTGAAGCTTGTATGCCACACTGGGGTCAGGGTGAACCCCACCCTCTAGCACTTGAAGAGAGCTGCCCTGAGCCTTCCTTGATTCTCAAAGTGTCCCCCACCCTACATGTGCCTCAGCCACCCCACTGCCCGCCTGCCCTTGGAAAGCCTCATGCCACTTTGTAATGAGTTGTGGCAAAACCTGTCTATTCCAGTAGAACCACATGGTGAGGCCTCCAGAAAAAGCAAACCGATGAATGTAAAAGGGTTCTGTCACTTTCGTCCCTTTTCTAAGTAGCCCACCCTCCTAGGCCAGCTTGCCAGTGGCCAGCCAGCTCCATGCTCCCGGCCATGCTCCCTGGAAACCAAACTCCGAGGACTCTGGACTCCCCAGCCCCTGTTTCCATTCAGAGCAAACTTATCCCTCCCTCTGCTTTTGCCCTAAATTTTCTTTTCAGCTCCTCGCCTGACATTTAACTCAGCGTTGCAACTCTATTCCTTAAAACCCTCTGCCCAAAACTGTCTGTGACTCAGCATGCCAGGAACAAGTAAATCTCATCAAAGGCTGCGCTCCTCACTCCCTGTCCCTGTCATTCAGCCTTCCCCTTGGAATTGCTCTCGCTCTCTGCCCCTCTTTAGCTCTGGAAATCCTGTTTATCTTTCTGGACACATCTCACCTTCTGTCTGCTTTAAGAAGCCTTACCAGCCTTCTAGCCTTCTGAAACCCCATAGAATGTGATCATGATCCTTATTATATTCCACTGTGTCTAGTGGACAGATGGTCCCTGATGTCGGATGGACTTTCAACTTAGGATTTTTCAACTTTATGATGGCGTGAGAGTGATATGCATTCAGTAGAAACCATATTTGGAATTTTGGATGTGGATCTCTTCCTAGTCTAGCAGTTTGTGGCACAATCCTCTTTCATGATGCTGGGCACTGGCCACTCCCAGCCAGCCACATCACCACGAGTGTAAATAACCAACACACTGACAACCATTCTGCACCCAGACAACCATGTGTTTGTCACTTCTAGTGCAGTATTCGATACATTACATGAGATACTCGACACTTTATTATATTTTCAATCTTGTTTTCTTTTTTTTTTATTGAAATATGGGTGACTCACGTTACATTATTTTCAGGTGTACAACAGAGTGACTTGAGAAGTCGATTCATAGTGTAGCTACCATGTGTCACCGGATAACACTGTTACTGTACCACTGACTATATTCCCTGTGCTGTGCATTTCATCTCCGTGACTTAGTCATTCCGTCACTGGAAGCCTGTATCTCCCTCTCCCCTTTACCTGTTGTGCGCATCCCCCGACCCCGCACCCCTCTGGCAACTACCAGTTTGTTCTCTGTATTTATGAGTCCTTTTTTTTTTTTTGCTTTTTTTTTGTTTGTTCATTTGTTTTTTTATATTCCACATACTAGTTTTCACTTATGGTATTTGTCTTTCTCTATCTGGCTTATTTCACTTAACACATCTTCTAGGTCCATCCATGTTGTCAGAAATGGCAAGATCTCATTCTTTTTTATGGCCAAGTAATATTTCATTATGTGTGAGTGATTGTGTGTGTATGTACACACAATATCTTCTTTATCCATTCATCTGTGGATGGACACTTAGGTTGTTTCCATTTCTTGACTATTGTAAATAATGCTACAATAAACATAAGGGTGCATATACCTTTCAAATTAGTGTTTTATTTTCTTTGGGTAAATACCCAGTAGTGAAATTACTGGATCATATGGTATTTCTATTTTTAATTTTCTGGGGAACTTCCATTTTTATAATAATATCTATTTTATAATAGATAGATGGTATTGCCCAACTGCATGATGTTCAGTAGGTTAGGTTATTAAATGCATTTTTGACTTAGGATATTTTCAATTTATGTTGGGTTTATTAGGATGTGACCCCATCATAAGTCAAGGAAAATCTGTAGATTATACCACACAATGGGGTGTGTGTGTGTGTGTGTGTGCACGCGCGTACTTATAATTATAGGTTCCTTGAAGGCAAAGTCTATAACCATCCCTTTTCCTTTTCTGGGTGTTGAGAATCACTGGGCCTTGCGCTAAGGTACTGGTTCTGTGAATGAACGAGCAGTGAAGGAACATGAACTCATGGATAGGGGAAGCGGATATGAGGAGCCTAGTAGAGAAAAGCTCATTTGGTAGGAGTCTGGCTCCAGCTTTCTCTGAAGGAGGGCTTTAGGGTCAACATTCTGACCAGAAGGGGGCTTAAAAGCACTTTATAGACAGAAGGAGACAACAACATTTGTTAAAATAAAAGGAGGTGAAAGCTAATGGAGATCAACAGAGAGGCGCTCACCACGTCAGGTCCCCTGGACATCCTTCCTAGGTGAATGTTTTCACTGTGGTTGAATTTAATGCTTTCTGTTGTGTTTGTGTCATGGAATGTTTCACATTGATTCAATTACATCTGCTTTTGAAAGAACAAGTATTAACACACGTGTCACTTCTGTTTCTTGCAGGCAACAATGGTCCTGAGCTCCGCACACTTCTGGCTGGGATTATTTCTGGTGCCCACAGCGTGTTTGATGGAAGATGTAGCATGGAGAGCGTAAGTGAAGAGTGACGTAGTCACCCTAAGTCTTGCTCATCTGTCCTTGCAGTCACCTGTCATGAACCCTGGCCATAGGGTATTTCATGCTGTGGGACTTCAGAAGGAACAGGTCTCCTGCTACCTGCCAGCAACAGATGTTTATAAGGGATGTTGGCGGTTTTGGTTTCTGGTGGTTTTCTTTTTTTCTTTTAACCTGTGCTTCACCTTGATAGGAGAATATAGACAAAAAGGAGTCCCAAGACAGGCTGTGTGAAGGTCAGTAGGTATGGTGCTTGTACGTGATTTTAACGGAGGGTTTCTAAGTACAGATTCATTCCATCAGGTTTAGGAAGCATAACTCAAAACTCACTTCTCCTTGTATCTAAAAAATCAATGCCTAAGCGATCACAAATATAACCTGGCTTTAAATCCCAGACTTAAACAAAAATTGTGTATATGTAAGCCATTTCAAGTTAGAAAATAACTTGGAATGAAGTATTCTTCATTTTTCCAATAATTCACAGTAGGAATCCTTCAAACATAATTTATTTAGAGCGTCAGTGTACAAATCTATGAGAAGATTAATCACAAAGATGAAATTATAATGTAGGTTAAGTAGGAAATAATTCATGCTCAGTTTTTGCTTGTACATTTCAAAATATATTGTTTCCGAAATATCTTGTGCACAAGGTAAACTAAGCAACTAAGTTCCAAGATAATGTTAATTTTAATTTCATCCATGAGAAAGAGATGGAAGATTCCAAAAGAGGTAATATTGATTTTTGTTTGGGGTAGGCTGGTTCCTCCTACAAATAGTTGCCAACTTCCCTGAAAATTAGATTGGTTTTACTTTGGGCAAAGCATAATTATTTTGGGGCCCTGAGGTAGAGAATTGAGACTTTAATCCAAACCTTTCAGGAAAAGACATCAGATTTCATTTTTATCTCCCCTTCCTCCCACATTCAAGGAGAATTGTTCTTGCCTGACAGTTAAGGATGTCTTTTGAAAAAGTCTTCATTTTGGCATTATCTTGACAACCGGTGATGCCTAATGCAGAGAGAGAGAGGAAGAGAGAGAATTGTATAGCACATATTTTGGGTGTTTTTTTCTCTTCACTAAGTTTTGCAACTATTAGTAAAAATTAAATAACTCTATTAAATGCCTTGATTTCCACTACTTCCCTTTTATCTGCTAAAACTGTATTCTATAAATAGCTGAATTAGAATCCTTGGAAATGAAATTATTATAGCCAGGAAAGATGTGTTCTTAATCTAATAAATGCGCTGAAACAAAATGCTAGTTCTATTATTTGTTCTTATAGCACATAGCCCAGTTGTGGCATGCTATATTACCTTGCTAAATCTCTTCAATTTTACATGACAGGTTAGTTTTAGGTAAATACAACATGATACTGGCTACATCAGATCACTTTACAATTTATAGTGATTGAGAATAGGAATGTGATTATAAATTAATCTCAGCCTGTTTTAATTCAACTATCTTAATTAACGTCATGGAAAAAAAAATGCCGAGTCTGTGTACTTGCCGAGTGAGACTTTAGCAGAAGTATCTTTCTACTATTTCAAAAGTGGTTGCAGATTACAATGTCTCTACCTCCTCCTCAGTCTTCTGGATCTTTTCCAATCCATTCCAAGTAAAAGTTACCAGTCACCAATGAAGCAAATTATTCCTTCAAACAGGACTTGTTTTTGGTTTCCCCCGGCATATAAAATTAGCACCATTTACATTTTAGCAAGGATAAATCAAAGGACAGTGCCTCCAGCTCCACCATATGGAAAAAGTAAAAGTCACTTGTTTCCGAGAAGCTTGCCAGCCAGGTAGAAGGGCCCATGCACTATGAAGGAGGTGCTGGTCGGGAGACCAGCAGAGGCAGACCCCGGGCATTGTCCTACCTGCTGCTTCCTGCCCAGGACAGGCCCAGAAAACAGCCCTTCCCAGGAGGAGAGAGCACCTCAGCTTTGGGCTGAGCTGGAAAGGCTCCTACTGAATACCAGAGGCACTTACAGAAATGTACTTTTGTCTGGTTTTATTTGGGGAAGCCAGGGAGAATGGTATATATTGGCTCTCCCCGCCCCTCCCCCCACAGTATTTGCCCAAAGTACACGCTCAATTTGTAATACACATTTAATGTCTAAACTACAGTCACCTCCCTCCTCAAAGACAAGCATTTGGCAAGCTTATTTGGGAATTTTCCCTGAGATCACGGGGCTCGGGTTTTATCTTATGTTATACTCCCTGCCTGAAATAGATGTTGTTCGATCCAGTAAATTCAGAGGTTTCTCCAGGAAGTGGAAGCAGACTATGAGTTGCTCGCCTCCAGTGAGGCCACCGTATGGGACTGTGATTTCTTTCTGAGCTTCAGCCTCCCAGAATGTGTTCTGTTTTCCCTTCCTGCACACTGGACAAAAACATGAGCCCTGATTGTCCACAGCCACCCTTCATTTGGTTCCAATTGTCAACTCTTTATTGAAACATGATGTGCTATGGCTCTCCTTGGACTTCCAAGGAGAGTTTTGAATGAAGTGAACCGGAATCCCGGGTCCACGAAGAGCCTGTGCCGTGACAGGGATGTGGGGCAATGTTTGCAGGGCGGTTGCATTCTCTCATCTTGCCTTGGGCCAGTCTTACAGATCTCTTGTTTTGTTTTGAATTTTAGTGGTTGATTCTATTTTGAAAGAGCTTTTAAATCCCAGCAGAATGCAGGCCCACCTTTTCATGTGTCTTTCTAGGAGTGCTTAGTAAAGTGAACTGGTCTCTTTCTGCATCCCCCCGCCCCCTTACTTTGCCCAGTTCCTCTCTGCCATTTTAGGACCTAGACTGTTCAGAGTCAGGGAAAAAGAAGAAAAAAGAAAACCCAAAAAAAAGAAACTCAGCATGAGGTAATTTAGTCATTTTTTCCATGAAGTCTGTTAGCTTTCTGCTTGAAGATCCATTACTAGACTATCTTAAGTCAGATTTGGATGCCATAAAGTACCTACTCTGTTATCCTGTTAACCATAATTTTCATGAGGGACCAAACTAACACATCTTTTACTAAAATAATTGATTGATTATATGTGATACCTGGCTAATGAGTATTTTTATTAGGAGCATGAAGTTTAAATTGCCCAGAACTATTTTAATATCCTTTAGCTTACACACTTCCAAAATGTTTACCCATGACAGCATTCTTAGGTAAGCTGCTATGTACTTATTCTCATTTAGGAGAAATCCGTTAGTTGCTTTATAAAAATAATATAAAGCTCAAGGCCACTGAACACAGGCACCAGTCTCCTTTTATCTAACTGTATCTCATACTTTACCAGTCAGCACACAATACGTTCAGCAATTCCAGAATGACTTCATTTCCTTATTATAATCCCAGATAGGCAGTTAAATGGAAATAAAAGGTAATAAGAAATTTCTGTATACAAATGAGTCTTGATTTAAAAAAAAAAACAAAAAACTTTCTACCTGAACTAAGCTCATATGAAGCACGTTGTATCTACATTTTCATCCACATTTAGAATTTAATGTATCCTTCTGACTTGCTACTTTTCCATGCAAAAGAAAGAGTCGAGGAAAAAAGTTTCCAGAAAAAAAAAAATGAAAATCTAAGCCAATCTATTTATTTTAAAAGTCCCTCATAACCTGGAGTTGCTCACAGCTATCCCTGGAGGCTCACAGATGACTCTCGCACTCTGACGGTGGCCAAGCAACCCCATGTTGCCTCTTCTGCAATCATCTGGTTTCTTGGTGTGGGGTTAGATGGAGCAGCCCTGGACCACTGGAGATAAGCCACTCATGGATCGTGGGGTTCACTCTGTCACAGCTGTGACTGAGAGCAAGCCAAACCCCAGCTCCTGGTGAGACCTAAATTGCATGCCGGTGGCTAATGCTTAAAGACTGGCTTTTCACAGGTGGACTTTGACGGCCAGGGGGAATCATTTATCTAATTAAGGCTTTATTAGGTAAAGGCTGTTGAGAAAGCACTTTTGCATTGCTAACATTGCTTCTACCTCAGTGCGACACGCAGAAAGACTCACAGAATCATCCCCAGCGTTGCCACCCAGCGTTCTCAAATAGTGGTCAAGTCCCCAGGCTAGCTCAAGGGAGCTAGCCTAGTGGAAATTCTAAGAAATTGCTGAGTAACTCTTGGATACGGATGAATTTCGTCCACTGAGAACATGCACAGTGCCTTGGGGGCATCAGCATCCTCAGGTCCTTTCCTTCTGAGGTGATTTTATGTATGAGCCCAAACCAGCAGTTTTGATGCAGTGGGCCAGATTCTTTCTCCCTTGGGCTAAGGTATAGCTTTCCAGTGCCCTGCACCCACTGGCCCGGCTTCCTGTTCCTAGTCTCCTTCTTGATGATGCTTCTGTCACCCAGCCCAGAAGAGAAGTCCGAGGGCTGTTCCAGAGGTTAGTGAGCTCTGCTTGCTCTGTGTGGGGAGGAAGGGGAAGGAGGGGAGGACAGTGGTAGAGGGAGGAGGGTCTGAAACAGAGCACACACTCATCCTCAGGGCGGGCACACGTGTTCTCCTGGGGCCTGTATATCCGGGGTGAATCCTGCTGGAGTGGGGCTTGCCCCTCGGTTGTCTTGTTACCATTCTAGCCCCATGAGCCCATGAGATGAAAATGAAAGTTGGGGGCCCAACATATTTGATAATACGGAACAGTGTAAATTTTAACATTCTTTTTTGACTGTCTCCAGCAAAACGTTAAATGTTTTCTCATTTCTTGTTTAAATTAAAATTCCACAGCCTCTGCTTTGAACTGCGGTATTGTTATCACTACTGAGTCCCCGGACTCGGCTTGATGTAATTAAGGTATTATGTGTTAAAACCTGTGCGGCTAAGTTCTTGTGTTTACTTTGGGGGGAAAGGAATGGCAGGCACATATACAGTGTCTTAGGACTAATACTCCATTATAGATTAACTTGGAGTGTTAGGGGATGACTGGGTATTATCTTAACAGACTTTCTTCCCTTGAAGGTGGAGGGTGGGCGGGAGTACGTCATTCCCCTGAAACTGCTCACGAATGTTCCTACTACACTGTTCTCACTTCCTTGCAGAGATGCTCCGTGTTCGTATTCTGTCTTGGAGTCCTGGTCCTTAGCAGGATCTTCACATCTGTTTACACTGAAACAAATGAAAAGCTTTTCATAATAAGGAAAACGGCCCTGTATTGCTAAGTTTGGAGCCTTTTTTTCTTCTTGAGTTTTTCTTTTCCCATTTCATACCCGTGTCTAGCCAACTGCCTTTCTTCAACTGGATCCTTTCCAACACAGTAGCTCTGTGTGTAGTCTCAATTTTAGGAAGATCCTAGCTCAGCCGCTTATTTGAACATTGTAAGGTATTTTTCGTTAACCAGAAAAAGAGTGCAGGCAGCTCTTCCTACAGTTCAAGGGGAGTGACAGGACCAGGCTGAGGTTTCGGCTGTGGTGGAGAGGCCAACTTGTTTTTGTTACTCCCTCAGTTGTTTTACTCTGTGCGGGCCCATGAATATGGGCCCTGATGGTAAGTCTCTGCAAGAGACAGGTGGAGAAGCTGTGCCTGGATATTTGTGTTGACCCTAAATTTCAGGTGCAGGGTTTGGCTTGAAGAGCATGAACTCCAGCATTGTAATTCCCATTCCTGCTCTGATAGTGGCTCTTCCCACGCTAAAAAAGAGAACAAACTGCTCACTTGGGGCTCTGGGATCACAGTAGGGGCCAGGGCCTGGGGACCTGCATGCATCCACTAGGTAAGGATTTAAAGTGTCTTCTGGGTTCTTAGGTCCTGCAGTGAGAAGCTTTAGAGATAGACCCATGAATATCTGTGAATCCCGGTCTTTGGTCTGAATGGCACAGGTCCTCAGCCAGATCCCCAGGCTTTTGGCAACAAGCGGTGTTCTTTGGGGGATGTGGGGTAACTTCAGAGGTTCATGGTTCAAGTGTGTTCTGCAAGACTTGGGATGCTTCCCAAGTTATGAAAGTGGAACCCTGGACATACACAGGGACAGTGAGTATTCCATGATGTCCAAAGCCACAGCCTCGGCCTCAAAGGGCATCAAGATATGGCCCCAAAGGGAGCGACTGGTCTCTACAGCTGTGTAAGGTTCATGTGTCATGTGTTTTTTGTCTTTTCCTTGTGACACAGGGCCAAGCATACCTGCAAAAAAACATTGCTGGAGGAGGTGCAGGAGCTGGAGACGAAGTCCAGAGTGATGGGGAAGGCGATGCTTCGGGACAGTAATGGAAAGAGGTAGGCCAGCTCTGGCCGAGTGTGTGGGGAGCACAAGTCCTCCCGGCCCTTCTCCCTACCTTTCCTTCCCGGCTTTCTTTTTCTCTCCTCGGTTTTCCATGCGAGCATGAACTGCTCAGTTTTAAGCACTTTAGTTATTCTCTAAGAATACTGTCATGGGGAGATTCAGATTACATTTTCTCAGTGGCCACATGAAAATCTGGCCTGTCCCCGGGTAAAGCTGGGGTTTTTATTGGGTCTGGGTAAAACAACCCATACTACTTCCATGTAGGAAATAGTAGCAACACTATCCTGATGTGGAAAAGTTCTGTTTTGGTTATATTACCAAAGAGTATTTAAAAGCTAGGCCTTTTGATATCAGGGCCAATTATTATACTAAAGGATGAGTATCTACCATGAAGGTGTGTGTGCCAAATAACGCCTGTTATTCATGTAAATCTTGTTACGGTTCACAGCAAGTATACCTGGGCCTTTTTGTTTTCCTTTTCATGAATCATGATTTTCTGCTGGTGTTGTGAAAACGATCATGTGACATATGGGCTAGTTCACAGAAACAAATGCCGTTATTCCCTCCCCTTATTTGTGGTAGAACCTCAGCCGCCTCTTCCCCGTCCCTAAAAGTGGGGCATGTGAAAAGCTTTTGGTTAATCATTTTTGTTACAATGTTATTAGATTGCTCAGTTGTTTTACTCCGTGTGGGCCCATGAATATGGGCCTGATGGTAAGTCTCTGCAAGAGACAGGTTGAAGCCCATATATGACCAAAGAAAGTCTACCTGGACCCAAGAACAGTTTAGCATTGCTGTCTTAGACACATGGCATGTCTGGAAAATTATGAGTACAACTCTCCTATAAATGCTTCGAAGGAAATCTGTAGCTAACTGCCAGGGAAACAGAAATCTACAAGTTGAATACTTTTAGAGATTCCTACTATGTGTCTTGTTTGTATTCTGTTTATTCATACCGTCTTTCAAAGAAATGAAGACAAAGCGTTTTTTCTTAGGGAAAGAGAATCCAAATTTTGAGAAGCATTAGGAATATAACTTTAAATAACTGCAGATGTTTTAGGAAAGTGGTGGTAGAGTACGTAGTTGAAGCTGTGGTTTTTGTGTTTGTTTATGACATTTTTTAACAAGTGAGTCCATTAGCATCCATTACATGGCAGCTGTGCTTGTCACTCTAAAAAATAATCTGTCAACAGGACAAAAATCACTGTCTTCAATAAGCTGAAAGCCACAAGTGTGTGGGGACAGTGGCAGAGCTTGAAGCAGAGCTATATATAACCATTACACAGGGCAGCTCATGGCGAAGGCCTGCGCTATCCGTTAGATTCTTTAGGCACAGTGCTTAGCACCTACTAGATTTTCAAGGACTTACAAAATTCTGAGACCTGAGGAAAAAAAGTGTTCATAGGCTCTAAAAATAGGGAGAAGCCTCTGCAAATTGAAATTCATAAAGACTTAAAACTCTACAAAATGCAGATCAGTCTTAGTAAGTGTTAGGCTTATTAAACACACCGAGTTTTAGCATCTTTGAAAACAACTCCCAGCGCCTCTTAGATCTCAAGAATGCTCACATACACACAGTAACTGCTGAGAGATCATGGGTAATTTCTAAGTAAAATGAGAATTTCAAAGCCAAATTGTAAAACTCTTCTCCAACATTGGACAGGAAAACCTTGCCCCTCGCGTGGTATAAGAATGCGCTTTACCGTGTTCGATCTGATGTGGGTCAGGGTCTGGTTCTGGCCCCGGAGGTTAAAACAGGGCCGGACATGGGCTGGGTAGCATGGAGGCGTTCAGAGGAGGCAGCAAGCCGGGAGGCCATCTGGCTTGAGAGATGAAGGGCTTCATGTGGGAGAGAGGATGGAAAAGAGGGCTTGGAGGAGGTGAGTAGATGGAAATGATGAGTGTGTGTTTCCAGCAGAGGGAGCAGCCTGTGCAGAGGCACCAGTGGGATTGTGTGCCGTGGTGCAATCCCCGCAAGGGATCTGGAGCCTGTGTTTGAATTCTGGCTCAGCTACTGCTTAGCCATGTGACCTTGGACAAGCTATTTCATATAGTGAGAAGACTATATGAGTTGGGGGTGGGGGGCTGGGGCTCATGAAACAATGCGCACAGCACGGCATATTGCCTGACCCGTGGCCGGAATGCAGTGTCAGCTGTTGGTCTTCAGTTTGGCCGGAGGGGTTGTGAGCCCTCCTTAATGTTGATAAAAAGAATGGAATTTTTAAAACTCATATATCCTGTTCAAAATTCACTTTTCAATGTTCCAATGAGTATCAGAAGATAATTAGAGTTTAAATGTGGTTTCCTTCCCTCTGCATTTTAAAATCTGTTTTCTGATCGCTTTGTAAATGTCGCAACTTCATAGTTGTACTGATGGCCCATGAATGTGAGTGTGCCGCCCCCCACCCTGTGACTGGGTCTCCTCTAGTCCCAGTGTCCTGCCCTACTTGTGTAATCCCGTCCTCCCCGCGTCCTCGGAGCGCCCAGCCACCACCACCACCACCATTTGTTTTTTTTCTCCCTCCTAATTGCTCCAGATTTTCTGGGTGGTCCCTTTGCAAACTAGATAGTGGCGACTGGCTGCTCTGATTTTTGTCCTGCTTGGCCTCACAACTGTTCGTTTATCACCTTTGTTTGCTTCTTTCACACCTGCCTGGATTCCTGTGCACCCCTGGTGCTGGTGAGGGGTGGGGGAGGGTAAGCCCAGGGATGGGGTTGGGGAGGGGGACGGAGGTTTCTTCAGCAGCGTAAGGATTTAGAGACACCCTCGTTGAAGGAGCCTGAGTACTTCTCTCTTCTCACACCTCCCTGCTCCTTATTCCCCACCCCCACCGAATATTTCCGTGTGCTTGTGCATCTCTCTTTAGCTGTTAGGCTGGCACACGGTGAAAGCTCTGTAAATATTTGTTGACTGACTGGAACTGCAAAAGCTCAGTGAATTGGTGGTGAGGAAGGGAGGGTTAACCTGCACTGTCCGTGCCCGTTGTGTCAGCTCACGCAGAGAGTAACCACAGAGAGATGCTCAGAGTTGCAGGCGGCCCTGTCATGAGGGGGCCCTTTAAGTCATGGCTTCGGAATAGAGCTAACAGAGTCACAGATGGACAGACGTGTGGGACGTCAGCATCGCCTACCCATGCAAAGATCAGTAGGCTGGGAGCTGGTCCTCCCACCCATCCTGCCTTCCAGGGCCTCTGCTCGCCAGGTGTCCTCAACATCCCTAACCACAGGACAGCTACGCGGCTCAATGCTGAAAGCCTTCCTAAAGGCCCCTTCAGGACACTCTGCCAAGTCATAAAACCTGGGTCCAAGTCACTGGCAAATGTTCAAGCAGTTTTTCTCAGGAATGTACTCCTAAGAAAAAGAACAAAAATTTTATGCATTAATCTAAAAAAAAAAGCCCCTTCGTGCCAAATTTACAATTACAATTTTGAAACGGTAGCTAGAAATTCTAAGTGTCCCTCTACACCCTTTATCCGTTCAATAAAACACTTCAACTTACCATTTTATTGATCTTGTTGAAGCCCTAAACTCTTACATTATTTTGGTAAACATGAAAATTTGATTAGCTTGCTCCTGCACTTTTGTGTTAGTAAAACTTGTCTTCCAAAATGAATGGGTTATTTATGCATAATTAAACCTGTGCTCGTGACTTAGAGAAAACAAGCTGATAAAGAGAAAAGACAAGATCTGCAAATGAGATATCCAGAAAGTACAGGGAAATAAGAAAATGCTTCAGGTGGCTAACAGAAATGTTTTTATTTTGTCTTTTATTTTGTCTCTTTCTGATGACACAATTTTTCTTGATATGTTATCTGTGTACCTCACAAACACTAGACACTTGTTAGTATTTATATTGTTCAGAATACCTTTCCCCAAACCATCTTCCCCAAAATCTTGACCAAGAGATATCCCCTACTCTTCTGTGTGTGGAATAAAATCTGTCAGGCCTGTCAGTACTTTGCGGGTGTCTAAAAAAATGAGCTAAAGGGAAGAATTCTTTCTTTCAATGTTTTGGTAATATTTTCTCCCTCTCTCTCTTTATTCCTAAAATGTAACTCACGCAATTTTTTTTTTTCCTCTGGTGGAAGAAAATCTACCGGTGGTCATTTACCTTTACAAATATAATTTTTAAAAATGCCTAAGATGTCACGTATGGGTGGCAAACTAAATTTTTTCCCCTTAAATTGTTTTTCTTCCTTGGTGCAAGGTAAGAGGGTGTTCAGATGTTCTGGGTATTACAGCAGTCAAGAAGCAACTTGAATATATTTGATGAAAACATCTAGTTTTCCAGTTATACTTAATCTGAATAAACCACAAGGAGACCCTTGTTTTGTTTTAGAATTTCTTTCTGTTCATCACAGTTGCGGGGAGGTGGGGGGGGGCGGTGGTAGGGTAGGCCCTGGGCTGATTTTCTCCAGTTTCAAGGTCAAGGAGCTCTGGTTGCTACCCTTGGCTTTCACCAGCAAGGGGGTGGGATTCTCTTTCACTTAAGTGCCTCCCTGGAGTATAATTTACTCTGTGCCCTTGGTAAAGGTAGCCGGGTGACTGGTCTTTGCCTTATGGTGAACGATCACTGAATCTCTTATTTGGTTTTATGTCCTCGTGAATGCTGATACATGGGCTCTGTGACCCCGGGGCCGAGCTGGCACACACAGGGTAATCTAGACAGCCTGTCTGCCTCTTGGGGTTTCAGGAGGGAAATGTGGTTCACTCTGTGTCTGGGTGCCACAGCCTGTGCTCTCACAGCGTCCGTGTCATCAAGGCTCCCTTGTGCAGATAGGCAGGGCACAGGTCCAAGCCAGCCATCTGGGAATCCTAATGGAGTGTTATCAGTGGAAAATAGAGGCCAGAGCCTGAAACACATCAGCACCATTTTCAGACACACCAAATATTATTTTTTTGTCCACTCCAGGCGACACTCACCTGGGTGCTCTTTTAAAAACCAATTATATTAAAAAACAAAAATTCCCCAATACATTTTAAGGTGAGTACT